TAGACTTGATCTGAATTTCATTTAATATCTAACCTGGAGTCGACTTATCTTTCGGACTACCCACAAATTATTGCATTTATTGGACTCTTTTACTTAGCATTCGTTGGCGCAAAAATAATGCTATTATACACTTGTGGGTAACTTTCAGTGCAATTCATTTAAGCTAATGCGAAGAATAATCTGGTGAATGATATATTAAGGAACTTGTGAAGAGTCACTAAGACAACGTCAGTTCGCACAAAGCAGATTAGCTGTCCTCTACGATACCACTGATGAAATAAAGATAATTTGAGCAATTAAGTTCCTAATCGCATCTGGTAGTCCATTCCTCAGTTGGACATCTTTTTGTTGCATATGTTAGTATCTGCAAATCAACGATTAGTAGCTGGGATTCATCTGGACGACTTCTGACGTTAAGTTGGTTCAAAATTGGCACTATCAACTCTCAGTCTTACTACACTGTAATAATCATAATGGAGGACCAGCGGCTAAGGTTACGCCTCTCTCACAACCAAATACGTCTAGTTCAACCACGGCACCATCAGTAGATGGCATCTCAAATAGGATAGATGAATTCCATTACGATCCTGATGTAGTTACTTTTGAGATGTGGTTCAGGCGTCATGGAGACCTATTTAAAGTTGATTTCGCCAATCAGAATGACGCTTGGACAATGTGTCTGCTTCTTTGTAAAGTGGGTGCAACTGAGCTGGACAGGTACTGCAATCTGATCCTGCCTTTGAACCCACGTGACCGATCATTTACAGACACAGTTCAGACATTAAGCCGACATTTTGGTGATAACTCGTCAGTGTTTGATACTCGTTATCGATGCTTGAAGCTAACTATGAACGAAGTTGATGAGTTCCTTACGCATATGAGCGTCGTCAACCGTGAATGCGAACGCTTCCGTTTAAAGTCCTTGACTGAAGATCAGTTTAGTGCCCTTATCCTCATCTACAGCCTGCAGGACCAAAAGTTCATTCACTTACGAACAAGGCTACTAAGTCGGTTGGTTCAAGAGCCGGAACTCACCCCGAGTGATATAGCTAATGAAGATCAACGTCTCATTAATCTGAAACGAGACACTTCTATGGTCCGGAGTGGTGGGTCTGGCCGATCTGAAGTACGAGCGCTGCAACAGACGCTCTACAAAAACAAATACGTCCCTGCTTCATCCAGTCCATCCCACTCCAGCTCGGACGACAGACTGAAGCGAATCTTCCTACTCCTTGCTAGCAATATGGTGCATGGCACTACGTTAAAAACTGTCCATTTAAGCAACATAGATGCAAGAGGTGTAACGTTATCGGTCATAAGGAAAGGGTTTTGTCTGAAGAAAGAGAATCCAATTCAATCGAGAAGTAACAAAAAGACCTTTCCTACATCTTGCACCAATTCGTTGATCTTAGTATCTTCATGTCAAAGCTCATCATCAGGTGAGAGAAAATTTATTACTGTTAATATTAATGGGCATTCATCTAGATTGCAAATAGATACTGCTTCAGATGTCACTATTCTCTCACGTAAGATTTGGACCAGAATGGGCAGCCCAAACTTGCAGCGTACAATGCAAAAGCCTCGTACTGCGTGTGGTAATTACCTTTACCTGCTAGGACAAATGGAATGTACAGTTACTTTCTGTGGTTCGGCGTTTGTTGAGGAATGTTACATAACGCCAGCTGATCTAAAATTACTCGGTTTAGATTGGTTCGATCAGTTAAAATTAGCTGATGTCCCGTTGAAAACCATATACAACATGGTATCACAACCCCAACTACGACAACAACCACATGGCTTGGGAGCATTACGAGGAACTTAATGACGCAGTTTTCAACCATTTTCCAACCTGAATCGGGTCGGTGCTCTGCTATTAAAGCAACGCCTCGATTGAAAACTGGAGCTAAGCCTGCTTTTCGTCCAAAGAGACCTGTGCCTTATGCAACATTACAAACAATAGATGAAGAATTGAATCGCCTTCAACAACAGGGAGTTATTACTCCCGTTTCCTACTCTGCATGGGCAGCACCCATAGTTGTTATCAAGAAGGCTAGCGGCACGACACGTGCATGTGCTGACTTATCAACAGGCCTCAATGCAGTTCTGGAACAACATCATTATCCCCTGCCTGTTCCCGCAGACCTATTTACCATGCTGAATGGGGGAAGGTTTTTCGCTAAACTGGATCTAGCTGATGCTTATTTACAAGTGGAAGTAGATGAAGCATCGAGAGAGCTGCTAACTATCAATACCCATCGTGGTTTGTTCCAGTATAACCGTCTACCTTTCGGGGTCAAAACTGCCCCATCTATTTTCCAGGTATCTCGAGAGTCGCGGCTTATGTGGATGACATTTTAATTGTAGCGATGACATTAGAACAGCTACGAGAACGCACGACATTGGTATTGCAACGCATCAGTGACAACGGGTTCCTGTTACGCTCAGAGAAATGCCAGTTTTATTTGCAGTCGGGTTCGTTTTCGATGCCGACGACCGCAGACCGGATCCTGAGAATATCCAACCTATCAAACTGATGCCCACCCCCACTAATGTCCCAAAACTCACATTTTGTAATCTTATCTTTGTGGAGCTTGTGTGTAGGTGTATGCTTGATGAACCTGGTATCTTCTGGTTGTCTGTAGAATACACTTTCTACATCTTACCAAGACTTCTGGATTAGCGATCCATTGGGGTTTCACCGCGTGGGTTCAAATCATATCCACGTCGCCAAATTGTTATGTTCGTTAAGCTTGAATGCTACTGCCGATTCGTCTTACTCGGAACGGAACGAAGAATCAAGGATTCAGAGACTCGATAGGCTATACTGGTCCGTTGTCTCCGACTCAGTTAACTCGATCCAGAATTCTTGGTAAGATGTAGAAAGTGTATTCTACAGACAACCCGAAGATACCAGGTTCATCAAACACACAAATCAGGCGTATTTATACAAAATATATATAATCGACATCGCCATGGAAGTTTTTAAACATTTAATCGATAAGTTCGTCAATCGACTATGTGCGTGGGTGGTAAGAAATGCCCAAGCATACATCTGCATACAAGCTCCACAAAGATAAGATTACAAAATATGAGTTTTGGGAATCTAACGTCCCCAACACTCCCATTCATAGACCGTAATGTATGATAGACTAAACAATCAATATCCTCAGGAAGTCTGTGCAAACACTTGGGGTTCCTGAATTCCTTAGGAAACTAATTTCTGTGTGCTTACGACACGAATATCTACTATTGACTACTCTTCTGTTATTCATTCCCTTCCTAACGCATTTGGAGGTTTCCGGATCCAAAAGGCTATCAAGATAGACGCTATTCAAAACTGACATCTCAGGCCACGAATATTTGCTGTGTTCCTACGACATATACAGTATTCTAAATGTAACTGTTCACTTAACTAGGGTGATTCAGGGTATTTTCTGTAGTTCTGCCAATTTCTAACTGTGAGGGGTTATGACATAGTAGTAATCACCAGTTGTGTATACGATTTTACAGATAAAATGTCGTGGATGTCTAGTATTACCTAACTTATCAGTAATTCGTAAACAGCTCTGATTTGCGGCCGGTAAAAGTAAGATGTGATTAACCATTGAGCGTGGAAAGACTAGATCATTTACTGTCAAACATGTAATTTCCTTTCTATCATTGATTTCTGCCCCAAACTTTAAATGCATACCGCTTGTAGTCGTGTTGCATAAGGTACTGTCCATACCCCGGTTCTCTATATTGGGTCACAAACCGTGTATCTGGTATAATCGCTAACCCAGTCTACGTAGCGCAGCAATAGAGTATCCAGTGTAGTAGTAATATATTCTCAGCTACCTGTATGATTTAGCAAACAGAAATATATTCATTCTGTCGTCGTATCAGGCTTATGAACATTATACTCAACTTGAAGCCTGAAGACATCATAACCCTTTTTTCAAAAAGCACTGAGCAAAAACCTGGAGATACTAAACATGAATCTCTCACCTGTAAGCTTATTTCAAAAATAAACATCAACACGTCATTTTAAAATAAGGAGTGAGGTAGTTGATTGTGCTGGCTGGCTTATGCGTTCTGTATACTGATATATTGGATATGAGGGACTTTCGCCAATATACAAACAGTCGTTGGGAAACGAGTATATTCACCCAATGTTACTGAACTAGGCATATAAATAATCCATTAAAATACTAACGTTTGGTCTGTGTTTATGTGAAACAGTACAGGTTTCCTGAGTAGAATTCTCAAAGTGATGGAAGCAAACGACCGAAGACCCTAAGGGGGATTGGCCAGAGTCGGAATGATAGGTGCACTCACTTTTCACCCTTCTATAAATAGTGAACGTTTTATTTGTCCGAAACGATTTTTTCACACGTTCCTTATTTCCATGCTATTACGTCTATATTCACTTTTCAATTGTATGCTGTCGAGAAGTGCGTCAATCTCAGCCAATGCGTTTTGTATTTATGCAACTAAATGCTATGTAGCAGATTGTTCAAAGTTTTTGCTATTAAAAATATTCAAAGCAGTCACATTAGGTGTAATCAACTTGTAACAATACTGTCTGTCCTTTCCTCACGGGTTTTATTAATTTCCAGATCGATGGAAGAAATAGGCGACTGTTATACAAATGGTACACAAGTAAAATATCTGTAGAAAACCATAAATGACAATAAGTAGCGAAACTTTTTATTAGAATGAACAAACTGTTCAACAATATATTAGATTAAAAATATTCGCATGATCACAACCACTCCCCTCAGACATGAAACAAACTAGCAAGAGAAGTGTATGACAATTATTAATATGTATTGTTCCACAAAGAGTAAACAAAAACACAAAACCGAATAATAAACGAAATTAAGTCATGGAATTTAGCAAAGCAGAAATATCACATTATTAGATCACATTTTTAGTGAATGCAGTACAATCACTACAAAAGATACTTATTAAAAAAGGTATTCATAGTATATGTACACTAATGATGTAAAGCAGAACGATAACTAGTCAAAACAAAGCAAGTCTGTAACAGCCTCCTGTTTATTCGATTTACTGTCACCTGTATGAGGACCCCAAGTAGATAAAGAGTTCCAGTTGTTCATATCTAACACCTCATCATCACCCTCATTCTCAGAATATCGGCTTTTGGAATTTATTCCTGCCAGGTCTATTAATTTGACATCGTCAGTTAACTGGTTATACTTGCTACTGACAGATTTTTCTCCAACTGACTCAGTGTTGATTACATCCTCATCAATATCTTCACCGCCTTCATCTTCGCCTGTATTAAAAATCCCTAGGTTGTACGCAAATGCATCTCTTGCCAGATCCACTTCAAGTGGAAAAATTTTTATTTGCTTCATGACACCATAACATTGATCATGGTAGGTGGCCATAGCATCGATGAAACGTTGTAACTCAAACACGATATCTTGTACTGGTGAAGCGGAAAAGAACAAAAACCGACTGCGGTTAGTTCAAAACAAATATGAAAAATATAATCCCATTTTACATACCTAATCATATAAGAAATCTGTGGCAAACTATGAATACTATAGTTCTAAGGATCCAAAGACATTGTACAAAAAAGTCATTGTAGTCCGAAAAATTGATAACTAGTTTGTTTGGTATGTTATTTAGAATGCACATGTTGACAAAATATTCAGCTTAAAAGCTTCTTATATCTAACAAAGTTTAATTTTATGGTATCAAGAAATACGTTAATAGTATGTCTAAATTCGTAGACACTTAGGAACCTGGTTACTACACGTAAAACATTGTATTCAGTTCCAGATCCAATTTATAACATATACACAATAGTTGGTTCATGTCATGATTTGGGTTCTGAATCATATGTTAAGGAGTGTCTAATTTCGCATTCGGGTCTTCAGAGTACTAATAAAATTCTTTATTACATCAGGAGTGTTGTTCGCTCAGACATCAAATCACGATATGAGAATGACGTCGTCTACCATCACTTGTCAACCAGCTGTTGAAAGTAGGGATATCTCCGTCGAAAACAAAATGGATTCCAACATACGGCAAATATCTAGCCATGGTAGAACCAGTATATCAGTCAGTCATCTAAAACATGGGACCGGCACATATATGCGTTGGTCCAAGTCAACATACCTCATAAGAGCAGTATAAACCAGTTCACACAAAACTGATTAAAAACAGTGCGATTTTCGACTACCGAAATCTTGACGATCGTTATAATATAAAGGAAAAATTTCATAACGTCAATGAAGTTGTATTAGACTACCGTCAAACGGAAATTCATGAATACCGCATTTAGTAACTAAGTGAGAATATTAACTAGAACTGGAAAGTTACGTAAATTATTTTGCCCTACTAGTCACAATAGGAAGAAACTAGTACTTTATAACACTAACTTAAACAGATTATTGTTGTAATTACATAGATCAACTAACTGATCACTTATAAACCACGGGGAAAATTATAGTGCAACATGTTACAACTTTATTTACAAGACTATTAATATTATTATTAATCACTTTATTCAATATTATATATTTAGCATAACATAGAAGCAACTTTCCTGACCAAATAATTGCCGACAAAACCGTCAAAAATTAATCCCAGAGACTGTCATAATACAATAACAGTTTTGTAAGATATGCGATGCCAATAGAAGTCCGATAAAACAGTTAATATCATTGTCTGTGATTGGTATGGGTTAAGCAATTAAAGACTAAATACGACGATACATGTTTGAAAGCGGTAGGTGATTTTTTGAACTATAATAGCTGTAGTGTAGTGTGACTCAACTGCCAAGTACGAGTTAATATACTTCGGGATTCGAATCAAAGTACTTAGGCATGCACTGTAAAGATTACTCGGTTATCTAAACTGAACGTGGAGCGCGGTTCAGACCTGTTACATAACAATTGAGAGGCAAGCGGTTTAGCAACTAAGCAATTTCTCTATCTTTCACTGAGTTTTAATTACGGTTCTATGCAGTGAAGTGTAAAACTGTAGTGGACGAACACTGGAGTCCGAAAGACCAATTTATTATTCATGCACAATCACATAGTGGTTTAGTAAGATATGAAAATCATACAGCAAATACATCATTTTCACATCTCTTAGTTGTCCTTTACATCCTTCATGATTCTCCCAATTCCTTGGTTTCCTTCTCTCTCCTCTTCATTTCAATCTTCTTTTGACAAACATTCCACTTCTAATTTGTATTACATACTACTTATGTCGACAAACATAAATAGCATATGCCACACTCGTTCCCACTTTAAACGGTCGATCTTGCGGTTGTTCTACTCTCCATGTCACTTCCTTTGCCGCGCTTCCCATCAAGATGTAGAATTCGCCGGCGCACTGACCTCCATAGCAATATCGGCCTTCCGGGCCATCTAGATACGACGTCCTTCTACAGCCAACACCGCCCCGCCGGAACACTCCGCTTGACGTTACATTCCTGAACCGGACAGCCCCAAGTAGCGCCTCCTCTCTTAACCCGGTAACGGCGTACACAGAACTTCACTTCTCTTTTTGCAGCGACACCAAATGTAGTGAACAAAAACTTGGTGGGGAAGAGGAATTTAATAGTCAATACGAAATTACAGAATGCCTTCGTAAAATACGAAAACCATACATTAAATACTTCATTTACACATCTTCCATCAGTTGTCTCTTACAAAATTCATCGTTCCTTCATTTCTGTTGTTATTACAATTGCTCTGTGTTTACATTTCTATCCTCTTCAATTCGATCTGTTGAACCTTTGGCTACCAGGCATTCCACTTCTGATGAGTGTTACATGCTACTTATGTCGGTAAACATAAGTAGTAAGTAAAACAATTATATACCTTTGAACTAGATAACTGTTTAAATAGGCTTGATTAGGACTCTACCGTTTATACAGCAATGTGGAATGATTATTCACCTACAAATGTTAACTCAACTACTTAGGAACCATGCTACTTGAATTATAGTTTAAGTGTCTCCATATGAAAAATAAGTCTATCCACACTTTGTTAATGAGTGCAGAAAATGGTATACACGCCAAATTATTATTCCACTGTTACTAAAATTTAATCCAATAAATTACCAGAGGTCGAACGTGATTAAAAAAGGAAAATAAATACACTGTTTACCATGTTTATTATCCAATAATTCTAGTTTTACTAAAACATCATTGCGCATCTTAGCAAACCGTGTACGTGCATCCTGTCGACATCTTAAAACAAGTCTATATTCATAATTTCCAGTTTCTACACGATATAGTGGTTCTTGAACCATAGCAAAACCATACTCTTCATCGTCCATTTCCTTTACTTTAAGACAATAAGACTAGCGAAACAAAAGGAGATGAAATAAAAAATAACAACGATGTGTCAGTCAATCACGAAAAATATACACAATAAAAACCTATTAATCATCCAAGAGAAATATGATGGGCTTTGTTGAGATTCTCATGATACCGAATTTTAACTAGTTTTTCTACCTCTGACAAATATATCCTTTTTTACAAACGAGACGCCGTATTTTAAAGTGGATTATTTGGAGATACATACAACTAGAATATTAAGTAAAGTTGTAATACATTCAGTCTACAGAAATGTCCTATGAGAAGTAAACTGAAAGTTATACCAATTTGCGTTTTAAACTAATTTGACAAGTACATATTTGTGTTGTCGGTTACCTGGGAGCACTACTTAGGCACCCCTAATGCGGAAATCATAGTATATGGAAAAGGGTACAATCTAGAACCCAGTGGTTGAAAGTCAAGTATTTTAACAACTACACCAATACTCCAAGTCAATTATATTTTATTTCAGCAATTTTTTACTACAGAAAAATATGTAGTCGATATGTCCAGAGGTTATCTTAATCTAGTTTCTGACTGCTTAAAAAGGTCTACCTTTGATTTAATACACAATGGAAGTTAAACCCTTACCTTAGGTTTTACAACAGAGACGTCACAATTCTATTAACTGAACAACACTATGATTTTTAATATCACTTGGTACAAACGTTATCATCACATATCATCTGTGTGTGTCTGTCTTTACTTCCAAGCGGACTAACTAAATAAATCAAGACCTTCTATTAGAGCTTGTAGACATTAAGCTCAAAACTATTCATCAGTAGGTAGTGAGCTGTTATGCAACTTTGTAGTTGGCTAGCTTCAACAACCGTTGTGACATGGATTAACATAATGAGTGAAAATTCTGAGTGGAGGTTATACCTTGTAACAATGGTGACAATGTAGTAACAAGCTGAAGCCAAGATCGACTTTTAGTATTATCTCAGTCATGTGACCATTGAATTAAGATCACCTTGTCAGCTGCTCCATATGCTTATTCAGTTGTGAGAAAAAAAATTAAACCATACGAGAAGAGCAATCACTACTCCAACTTAAAGTGTAAATTAAGTTGTTCAAGGGTATTTTGAGAGAAGACAGTGTATGAGAAATATCATTAGATAATATTACACCTGACAGGACAATATATCTATTCAAGATACTAAAGAACATAAAAAACATACTCCACAATTCCTTTGAACTATAATAAATACAGATATTGACAACATAGGTCATACCGGAGAATTTTCGTAACGGAGTAGATTGTTGAAATCAATGAGGCTTTTAATTATAATTAGGTTTGTTCAGCTGTGTAGTTACAGAACGGTTGAACAAACTAATCCATTGTTATTGGTTTTGGTTCACATGTTTGTCAGTTGACTTCAATTTCTTGTGTGTAAAAGTAAGACAAAGAATGTATTTAGATAACCGATACTTGTACCGAATTCAAGACAGAAATCAATCAATGGTATTCAGTAAATTTAAGTAGAAAATTCACACTATCCTACGTTCAACAACGAAAACAAATTCAAACCCAAATTGATTGTCAAATACTTAGTTTAAAACAGGATAGAACGAGCTGAAGTAAGAAAAATTAGTAACGCTTCGCATACCAAATATTCAAATTTGACATCTAAATATTTTTTGATTGTTAACTTTGTATCAGGAACCGCTTTATGTAGAAATGTGTTTAAATCCATGATCATCTATGTGGAATAACAAAAAGTGAAAACATTTTACTACAGAAATAAGAGGGAAAATTATTACAAATTCTAATGTGTTATGAAATGTGCAAGATGGCTTTTAAATACGAATAATATGCAGAAATTTTGAAACACTGTGGAATAATGTTACTCTTAGGTCTGATAATACTTCCCTTATTTGCAGAGTTGTTAGCTATAAATCTACAGTCTTAACATACAACAATTCATTTATTGGTTCAAGTATTATCAGAAATATTTGAATTACGTAAGCAGGACGGTTAGCAAGTTAGAGTTGATATACCTTCTATAAAAGTGAACGAAGTAACTTGATTGTAAATAGATTTAATCTCCATTTGGTTTGTGAAACAGTTAAATTAATTATGAAAAAAACCCATAAATTATTGCAGTATGGCGACTTTATAGATTTGATGTGAACTCCGTCTTCAGCCCCCTTAGGGGTTACTTCAAGTTCCAAGCCCGGACAAAAGAGGCCCGGCTGTGAGGTTAACAAACCACACCACGTAAAAAGAGTAATCAGAGAAACTATGCCCTGGAAGACGAAGGTTTTCATGAAGACAAGTTATGAAAACTTATGGCTGAAATTATGCTTCTTCCGACAAATATATAAATAATTATAGCACCCCTACTTGATTTATTCTAGCCTTTAGGTAAATGAATTACTCTAATCTATTCAATCATCCTGATATTTATATATGCAACTCCAAGTATGTGTATGTGAAAGTTCCAGGATGATCAAAGCATTCTTTAAAAAAAAGACGAAAAAGTAACAATGGTCATCTAATGCAATGCTCTCATCAATGATGAAAAAGCTGGTTTTATGTAGAAAAAAAAGGTTCATCGCAGAAAATGAGTGTGAAAACACCTTATGGTGGACCTAAACGCCAAAGTCGGGATGAATAACATAAAGTACAATTACAACATGAAGTGGTATGAACAAAGACAAATAATAGGAGTGGTGGGAGACTGGTAGATCTGGGTGACAAGTATAAAACCAATATTTAACGTCAGGCTGAAAATAAACAATGTCACATAGAATGAAGTCGTACGTTGAGAATAAAAACAATATCAAAATGTTACACTGGGAATAAGACTGATGTCATAAAACCTTACATCAAGTAAGAGGAGTGAACTCGCCTTCTTATCTCGACATATCAGAATTAAGGAAGCAATAGCTTTAATACGTTAGGAGGTGCTCAGTCCCAATAAGCATCAAAATAAAGAATAGATCTTTGTACACCGCCTGGATAGATTTAACAAAGGAAAAAACAAGACGGCATCAGTCAACAAAAGCAACGAAAGTCAAGGCACTGACTGAATATTGAGGAGCAAACAAATGAGCTGATAAGCGGAAATATGTAGACGACCTGACAACAAGGAAATATGGAAGAACCATATGATTCCCCAAAAAAGCTTACAGGGAAATATAGTAGATCAATCAGCGAGACCCGTAAGGAACAAAGATAAATCAATCATTTAGGATCAGCAGCAGCAGGACAGGTGAACATAACATTTTTAAGAGCTCTTAAATAGACCGGCACCACTGAACCTACCGGACATCAAAACAGAACACACACCTTCCCATAGATGACACTCCGTAAACAATAGAAGAAACAACCAAGGCCATCGGATAAATAAAAAATGACAAACAGCAGAACCAGGAAGCATACCACGTGGAGCACTAAAGTAAGATATAGAGGTGCCTGCAAATATTAGAGTCCGTCTTCATATCTGAAGCTACTTATGTGTTATGCAATTGTAATCACTGTGGTTTGGAATAATGAAGGTTAGTCGGTTTAGATGAAGTCACATTAAACTCCCAAACGACGGTTTCCCGTTTTTACATTCAGTTAGCGAGTGTATATGCAATAGTTGACAGCAATCAACTTCCGACCCCAATGAATATACAAATATCTATGAAATAAATCCCATAGTTCTTTGATTATATGGGTAAGTTTTAGTGACACTGAATACATTATGCTTTTGAATGAGTATCTTGAATGTCCACCGTATATCATTAGCTGATAGTGCTGAAGTTTTAACTAGTGAAGGCTGTTCATTATGAGAGCTGAAGACAGTAACATATGATTTGTTTTTTACAGCGAACTGAGTATATTATTCAGTAAATCTGAATCGTCGGGATTTGTAAGAATCTAGAAGCCGGAAAGTTTCAATATAGATTATGAAAATCTGACACAGAAATAAGACACAGTAGGAAAAGAAATGAATAAGGTAAGTGGTCCGTTGGAATAAGAGGATTTTTAAATTCAGATGTAGGATATATTGCGACTCATATAGCTACTAACTCATATACTAAAGCAAAAGTAGACTACGAAGAGGCAACGGCATGTAGCTTTATCTTTGTGAGTCATATCTCATTTAACTTCACAAAGTACAACAGGCTATGAGTTGTAATTAACCCCAAGAATGTCTGTTTCGATTTGGAACTCAATATTATATCTAGGCCAACAAGAACGTGGGATGTAGTCGCCGAATCACCAGACACGCAAAAAATGAATCGTGCTGATTCTCCAAATTGGGTAGGTGAAGAAGCTAAATGACCACACTTATGGTACACATGTAGATTTCGCAGATACGGGATATATCGGTAGCATTGGATTCTAGAACCTTTGCTGTTGAAGCCTATTGCATGATTTAATACAAGGTTCGAACATTGAAATGTTCGTAATGTGTGAGCGAGAATGATAATGATTGGTTGTCTGCTTAGTCAGACATGTAGATAGTTTGATGAATTATATATTCCCCTATCCTTATTATTATTATCACTTATTATTGATTGTTCATTGTTGTTGGATTGTGTCGGGTTTTGGTGTGGAAATATATTCATGTTGTGGTCAGGCTAATCACGTGCTCTTGATCTGAGTTGTGTTGAAGTCCTGTAGAATAGACACTGGGAGGGAATCTAGTGTAGATATTCGTCTAAGGTAAATTAACGTCCCATAGGTGTAAACGTGTGAACCCAACCGTTATAACATTAGGCGAAGTAAAACCGAGCGTTATAACAGTTCGGTATGTAATTTGGAGCATGGTTTAACGATACAAAATATAATATTTCGAAAGCTCGAATGGTTAGCACTAATTACGTACGCGTAAGCGAAGAAATCCAGAGAAGTTGATGATGGGAAAAGAAACATTAGAAGCGAATGAGTTTTGGTGAAGCTAAGTTCTTTGAGATTAAGGGTTGAATCGTTTCTAGACATTACACGTGAGCTGTCAGAATTTCTTCGCATACGGCTAATAGCTTTGTTGTCATTAAATTTAAATGACTATTTTCAACATGTCCCCCGTCATTGTCTGGATATTTATTTTGATTGTCTTCCTCATTGACTCCTGCAATGAATTAGTCTGAGAACACTACTGATAAGTTAGAAATAAAAATAGAAAAAGGTGGCTTGTTGGTCAGATAATTTCAATTCAGATATCCAGAATTTTTTATAAGAATGTTGCTCAGTAGCATCGAATCTGCAAAATTGGGCATTATTAATTAATAGGAAACTTCAAGCTTTAATGAAAAAGTATTTCTTATCAAATTAGATGACATACTGGCTTAATCTTTTTCAACATTTCAATCGAAAAACGCTCCATACTTCGATGAATCGTACCAAATTGAGTAAATGCTTCGCTTGTGCATGTCATGGGCTCTTTAACGCCAATTTCTGAAAATGTGTCTCCCAATACTTAACAAGTAAAATAAAATACCAGTTGAATAAACACATAATGAGTATTTTAAGCAAGCAGCATTGATAATATGCTAGAATAAATTTACAATCATATGAAGATTTACCAATGAAATTGTTATGTTTTGGAATACTGAACAACGCTACAAATACAGAAATATTCTCTCCATTCCGACCAGGGAATCAAATCGGTAAAGAAACCCAAAACGACTTATTTCCCCAAATGGGGAAATCTATGAAATCGAACGCATATATGAAATACAACAATTATAAAACATACCTACATACTGAAGCAATATTAAGTCACATCTTAAGTCCAAACGAAGGCGAGTGCTGAAAGCTGTGAAGATTGATATGTCTTCCTTAGTTACCTTCACATTTTAAGCAAACTACTACATTCATTGATATACTCAGGAAGAGAGTACATGTACAGGTTTCTCTGAATATGTCAAAAGAATTTAATACTTAGGTGTAAATTAAATACCACATTTATTAATTTTACATCTTATTACAAAATGAAGCAATATTACTAGTGGATTTAGCATAAGAAAGTTTCCTATCTTACAACTATTTCAGAAAGGTTTCGAAAATAACTTGTACAGAAACTTCAACACATGTGATGACCTTAATATTGACTTTGAGTAATGGGAATATATGAATAGTTTCCACAGCTCAATGATACAACCAATCTGCTACATTTTAAAAAACTGGGTGACTATAACGACTGAGGAGATAAGAATTAGGTACTACTTATAGAGAGAATTCTCCTGAGGTTATAAGTTAATGATAATAATAGTCAACAACCACATACAGACTCATGTACTAAACCACAGACTACGACTAATATTTGTGACATGAAGACTAAATAAAAACAATATTAATATAACTCATTTAACAAGTACAGTTGCATGTACTCGACTTTGAGCCAGGCAGCTATCCAAACGTTTGTACTGATTAGAGCTTCTCTTGCTCGTCGAAAATATTATCCCGCCAATCTTAATTGTGTCCCATATACTAACTCTGTAGCACAACTTAAATCTCGCCTAATGGTAGAAATACTAAGCACAGTTGTGGGCAATTTATCACTATTATGTACTGCTATTAAGTATGCTTTCAATCGTTGGTAGGATCGCTAGTTCATTTCATTCGTGATTGGATGATAAGTTGTAGCCCTAACTCTTTTAATACTCAAGAACGCGCCCATCTATAGTGATTAGTGCTTGTACTTTGAAATTCACTAGTCAACGCTTAGCGAAATTTTTGGCAATGTTGCTGCCGTCATATCTTCCAATGGTATCTTGTAAATCCATTATTACACGTTAAAATATATGTATATCCGTTTGGTGGTGGCAACGGTCCAACGGTTCCTACGTGGAAATAGTTGAATCTACTATCCGGTTCAGTGGGTGCTTCAGTAGAAGTAATTGCTAATGCACTTTAAATCTTTGGCTTACTAAACAGGCATGGCCTAAATGTTGGATATCATCGTTCATTTCTGTCCACACGTACCTTTCACTAATTAATTTAGTCGTAAGTCGATTGCTAGAAAATTCGGTGTGATTTGTCGAATATTGGCTTTCTCAGTAATGGCGATAAGAAGAATCTCGACTAGTTTGTGAACGTATCATGGATTACGCTCAGGGCGTCAGCGAAGGGGCAAGGCTTATAATTCCAAAGTATTTCGACTTATTACCAATCCCTTCACATCTTTATCTACATCCATTGTCTGAGATAATCGTACAATATAGACGTAATCGGTCTGAAACGTATCAATGATAAGTTGGCACAATGAGTCTGCAACTGTGCTGATTTTATCACTAATGTGCCATATGTTGGACGTAGACCGGGAAATAAATTCTAAGTGTCTTATGTCCCTCTATGAATAGGTATATTGTTTGGTGTCTAAGACTTTCATAAGAGGTTTATAGTGTTTACAAACAGTGAAAACAATGCCTGCCATCATCTGCCAACATACTTAACAATAAAATATTTTTGACTTAAACGTAATTTTCACCCTGCATTTTAATTTCATACAATTCTTATGTATCCACTAAGAAACCTGACATTTCAATTTTTGGACTAAATATATGTCCTTGTTTCTTTCTAGTATTTCACTTGGATTCGGTAACATGGATTTCTTTATGGACCTACACAAAGTATATATTTTTGACATAATTATGCCAATATACTGACATTTTATTATCTCATGAATCCCCATTTCGATGACCGTTGATTCTGCACAAAACGTTGAAATTTTTATCACTCAATTTCCATTTTCTGGATAGTATATACCGATGGTAATTGTCGTAATAACGGTAATATGGCCGATTGTTAAGTGGAGAATATAATAAGTACACCGCAGCTTGCTTTCACAGAAGAAGTGAGATTCACACACATGATTTAGTGATAGGGAATTGGGTTTTCATACTATTGAGGCAGATGAAGGTCTGTTACCCCGAAACTGTTCAACAACTTACACTAGTAGTTATTTAACTTACCTGCTTGATAGGAATGGGACTAAATTGTAAACTGTCAGCTAAATTAACATTTCTCACTCTATTTAGATAAACAGGTATCGAGGTTCTGTTTACACCGCATAATCACTAATATACTATCGTTTTTATAGGTACCAAAAACCAATCGAGCGTCATTTGTTGAGTCATCAATTGACAATTTCTTGGGTCCCTTCAAAAACCTCACCAATCGTTACTGAACTATAGAAACAGAATGGGAATTCAGGCAATAAGTAAGACATTTTTTGAAGGTACTACTACTACTAGTAGCTATAGCAATACATTATTACCGTCAAACAAGAACTTTGGTTAACATTAAAACTGACATTGTGTCACCTAATCAAAATCTCAATATCAAATGTAGTACGTACACAAAACCGTCACATCAAGATAGCAAATAGTGGCTGAGTATAAACCGTAGTATGTCAGTCATAAGTAATGTAGAACCCGGCGCACTTGTGTATACAGTGATATATTTCAAGGTGTGATCATACGGTAGGGTGTTGAATCCTCGGAGCAAGTACCCAACATTGCGTAAAATGTATACACCTTGTTAATTTATGCACGTTAACCCAATTACAGTTCCTCAATACGCTCTATGGAGTACTAGATACGCAAAAATAAACCAATAACCAAATAGAGCTAAGTGAACCTCGGTATGACTGTCATGAAAGAAAACATTTGTTAAAACATCTTACCAGCATAGATACGAGAAAGTTCATAGATTGCACGTAACAACTTTTTTGCATGATTTACCATACCCGAAAACACATTTGATGTTTTATTGAGTTCTTCCAACTTTTTAACCATACCGTCTACAAATTATGATTTTCCTGATATAAAAAAGTTATCTAACAAACCATTTACAAGAATAGCTCGGCTTAGACCTAAAGCATCGGCTGTACTAGATTCCATCGTTTCAACAATACGATGTTTCACCTTCTTTAATACTGTGATAGGATGGTTATGATAATCTAAGTAAAGAAAGTAACAATTACTTAAGTCTAGCGTTTTTCCTTGTTTTGGGTCTGCATGAAGTTTGTTATAGTTAATTCTTACTTCATCCTACAATAAACAGAGAATGAAAATGTCTGTAAATTTAGGAAAGTACATATTGTTATAACAATTTGTCAGGAATTTAGAGTACGGAATCGCAATAAGACACATTTGTTTATGGGATAAGAAAAAAGCTTTATAATATAGATAACTTCCTTTTTCCTTGAGCAAGCTATACAATGCCAAACAACTAGGACAATGTAGAGGGTAAAATAATACAAACTGAAACCACCAAACTTCGAAATTCAGTAAAGACAAAGTAACGACAGCAAGGTTATGTGAAATAGAGGCAGATACATCACTGTCTGCACATTTTACATCAAGAAAAAGGCCAGACATATTTATATTTTCATCTGTGGCCTAGCAGTCCAAACGGTTGGCCTTTAACCACTTGAAGTGCAACCCCCACTTAGTGAGGTTAAGGAAACCAAGTAGTGTAATCAGCTGTTACACAATACATGTTGGTAGGTGACTAACTGAAATCTTTTCAACTTAGTTCTTTAGATGAGTCTACTTTGTGTCGACTAGTGTTGCGAACCAATAATTTGTTATTTCAATATAGCATAGGCTATGAAATTTAGACAATTAATTAATAGCCTAATACACTGCTATCGGTCTAAAATCTGCTGTAGTTAACATCGTGAGTCAAAGATGATCGGTGGTTTATATTATACATCAATAGTTCCGTCAATTGATCCAAGTTAGTCTGGTGAATACATTCTACTTCGTGGTTGCACAATAGGTTATATTTTCCTTAAATATACTACCTTTGGGTAGAAAACTCGGAACTATTTAGGCATATGATGAGAAAAGAACTAAAATCCTACACTGAAAACTTTCCGCCCTACAAATATAAGTGGCTTGGAATCATTACCCTCACCATCATTGCTTAATGGTCAGTAACTTCATTCTCCTTCTTTTTATGGTGTTACGTTGTTTATGGTAATTTCCAGATTAAATCCTATGTCCTACACGAGACCCTATGTTTCATATCCTGATGGAAATCACTGTGTTACAAGTATATCATACGGGTACAATTTATGCACACTTAGTTAGATATCGACCCAATACTGTAAATTGCTTCACTATAAATTATGAGTTTTGAGACGAAGTATAAGCATTTAGGAAGGCATAATGGCAGACGCTTCATTTAACTGGGAGGAAAGGTATGGGAATATAAAAGTTATAAGGCAATGGGTAACGAGATGAATTTAATAGCACTTCATCAAAACCCACATGAAAGAAGTTAACTGATAAGGGATAAAGGAGATGGGAGTCATATTAATTTAGTTTTGATGGCGTTTTGTTTTATCCAAACTGGGCGATGGTTTACAATCAATGCAAGAACTGCAAAACCACTAGTAGATAGGTAGTGAGTTGTGAGACTCACAAAACAACTTATTGAGATCGAAATGTTTGTCTCTTGTGGTTGACTATAATCGATGGGTGTTAACTAATACGAGGTCTCTAAATACCCTGGTACGACCGAGAATGGTTAGAGTCAGCTCTCTCTCGAAATGCTATCACATGGCCATGTGCATACAACCACTGCTAGGGAAGTCCTATTCACTGCCTTCTCGTGGCGGGGGTGTTGTTTACGAAGCTGAGAGGACCAAAAGCGAATGCCCGGTGGACACGTAGAGTCCACCTAGGCGAATCGGAAAACCCTGATTCCAAACCAATCTTGCACATGGGCTCCAGTATGCTGAAGGAACAAATGGAGTATGAACCAATCGTTAGTTACCGGCTACCATGGGACTGCATACCCAGACGTTGCTTCACTGCCTCGTGGATTAAACTTTCAGGTCAAAGGCTCTGGGTGTGGCCCCATAAGAAAACCACCTACTCCGGTTTGGGCACCCGCGCAGTATCCCAGCCCTCACATAAATCGAGCGATTCATGTGGCGCATACTTATTTGGTGACTTCTTGTACCAATGTTCATGTTTGAATAAATAAATAAAATAAAATAAATAAAGGACTTTTGCTTAAGGTTTCAGGTTGACACGTTTCAGAAATTCGAAACTGTATAAAGTAATTTTGGTTCTCCTAGACTACTAATTATATTGCATAAAGGTCGGTTTTAGAAAAGTGGGACCCACAGCATGTAAAACAGAAATACTTTATTTGAAAACTGGTTTAATTGGGAATTCAGTTAGTCAGCTACAACGTAGGACCAGGTAGATATATGCATCGGTCCAAGTTGCTATACCTCATTAACACAACAAGATGGACATCGGATTCATATAAGTAGTTAATCCAGAGGTGGTAATATATAAAAGAAAGATTGCAATAAGGATCTTAATTTGGGAATTATAGCTACTATTTTGCCAAGAGACATAAGGAGAACAAGGGAAGTACAATCTCAGATGAAAATGATCAAGAACATAACACCATGAGAGTTCCTTGATTTTGTAACCGTCTAAGATTGAACGATTTAAAGTTATTCTGACCAAACCCTACCCTCACAAGATTTAAAATAAGCTTTTGAGGTTCATATATCTAATAAAGCCTTAACACTAATGCATTATTACTTGACGCACATAAATTAATTAAGAAGGTAACAATATCACAAACAACACGATTAGGTGGGGTAAACAAAGTTAACACCTACCTTGAAACTTTGAATGAGTCGTGCAGCTTCCACTTTCGTCTTGCCTTTTACAGATATACCATTGACACCAGTTATTTCGTCCCCAGCTTGAAGACTACCATCTTCTGAAGCTGGCGTGGAGTCGAATATTTGAACAACGTAAAGGCACGGACAGTATGGGGCTCCCCCTCCAATACTTATACCCACTAGATTCTGTGGGTCCTTTTTAAGTTTCACACAACCACTCGTTACGGTCATCCCACTAAAAAGTTGTGAGAAATAAAAGGATCTAGGATAGAAGGCAAAAGCTTAATTCCAAAGGATAGAACTTTCTATAAGCCAAAAAGTAGTAAGCTTTATGTAAGTTCACTACCAGTACGTTACACAAAAATATGTCTATTCAGTCCACAATGAACTTCACGAATAGTGACAAAACTATTTAAAAAATGGAAAAGTGATAAACTTTCTACTCCACGCCGGACTACTTTTAGTTTATTTCGTTTGAGTAACAATGCAAATGCAATGACTAAACAAGTTTACTATCTATAGAAACTAAAACCGACAAACCTACGGTGATTTGGAGCAACCATTTTATGTCCACCTCGAAATTAACTACCCAAAAATTTGTTATAGCTTGGTCATGTGAATGTCAGTGGATATGGTGAACCATATCGTATCTTATAAGTATGATGATTCAGGACAAAATCTTACTCGTGCTACGGTCAGACTATAGTTTATGGACGACCTATGAACAACGCTAGACTTACCTTGAGAGTGTCCACCTAATAACCAGTACCAAATAGGGTTATAAATCTGTGTGAGAAACTAGAATTATGATTTACAGTTGATGATTAAGGTTAAAAACTAGATTTATGGTTTTCATCACGAACTGACATCATTTATAATGTCGAAACTCTAATTAGCCGAAGTGAATTTCGAACCAAAACCCGAGACCTGTTATCTTATACATGATTGGTTCGTCCACGAATTATTCTCGCCCGTTGTTCATTTAATCTGTATCATACGTATGCCATGAAAACACCTAAAATGGTTCATTGAGTTATAATCAAAGGGAGACTGAATATGTGCAGAAAATCCAACAAATGTTACTTGTAAGGAAAATTGCGAGGTATGTATCCTATAGGAGTTTAGGTAGATGTGATACCATCAAAATAATGTAAGAGCATGCGAAAATGTGGGCTGATAAGACAACGAATGATTAGCATATGAGTGGAACGCAAAACTAATCGAATTCAAAATATAATAAGTAAGAACCCAGACTTATATAGGAAGTAAACTGAGGTTACATTCTTATCATTTCTTATTCTTGTGTAAAAAACCAGAAAACTCCAAGAACCAGACTTCTCCGAAATTATGTGTGCTTGCGAATCTTGGGATAATGTATACTTAGTACAGCGATTACAACTGAGGAATCTGAACACACAATGCATAATTTCCTGTCTCAGTCTTCAGTAATAAGGATAGGAGGTCTATTGACCTACATTAATCCTTGCAGTTTGTAATACTGTGGAGGTCCAACCTCGTTTTGAATATATTAACAGACGGTGCTGATATTACGTGTTCCGGTAGGGAATTACAGTAATTCACTACTCGGTGCGAGAAACGGAACTCCAGACGTAAACGGTTTGATCTCGGTTTTTGAACTTTCTTCGAATGTCCTCTCAAATGATCGGTTCTAGACGGAAGCAAAAGATAAGACATGTTAATACCAAGGTCATCGTTCAGTATACGATAGGCCAATATTAGATCACCCCCGTATTCTACGGTAAGATAGCGGAAATAAGTTAAGGTGTCTCAGTCTGTCTCCATAAGATAGGCCAGATAGACTTTGTACCATCTTAGTAGCTCGTCGTTGGACTCTTTCTAGCATATCTGCTTCGTACTTGAAACAAGGACACGCTGCTTGAATCCCGTGTTCTAAATGTAATCGCACATAAATCGGGTATAGTAATCTAAACATTTCATCGTCTAAATACTGGAAAGACCTACGAATTGACCATAATATCCTATAGCCTTTTGCAGCAGCAGCATTACAGTGACTAGTGGTTTTGAGATCATTGCTTAATATAACTCCTAAATCTTTATAGTTTCTTGCTTTGGGTAGCACGAATCCACGTAGTGTATAGTGATACGATTCGTCAGAGTTATTTAACTCCATCACTACACTCTTATTAGGATTTACTTCCAGTGACCACCTGTCTAACCATGCCACCAATGAGCTAAGATCATCCTGTAATACCATTCTATCCAACATACTATGTATGGGTCTCCAAATCTTTATGTCATCAGCGAAGAGTAAGACAGATGATTTTGCTACAGTTGGCAATTCATTTACATAAAGTAAAAAGAGAAGAGGACCTAGGATTGTACCTTGGGGAACCCCACTTTTTACAGGTACCCACGAGGAGAGAGCCCTATTAACCCTTACCCTTTGTCTCCTGTCATGGAGAAAGTTACTTATCCAATCGACGACTGTATAATGGATTCCAAAACGTTCCAGTTTGAATTTAAGACCAGAGTGGGAAACCTTATCAAAGGCCTTACTTAGATCTGTGAAAATCACATCCACAGGAACATTCCGATCTTTTGCAGCAGCCCAATCTTCTCTTGCAATGAGAAGATTTGTCAAGCAAGATAGGCCTTTCCGAAAACCATGTTGTGCCCTGGAGAAAAGATTTTGCCCTTCAACATAGTTTATAACAGCTATCCGAATGATTTTCTCCATCAGTTTTACAACTGCACTAGTTAAGCTAACGGGTCTATAGTTACTAAATCCCTACTCCCAGCCTTATACACCGGACTTATTATGGCGTCTTTCCAGTCTCTAGGAAGTCTGGACTGTCTCAGAGACATGTCGAATAGTATCGCTAATGGTTCAGCAATTTCATCTGATACGGCTTTCATAATCCTAGGATAAATATCATCAGGACCGCTGGACTTATCAGGTTTGAGATGCTGAAGTAGCCTTAAAACAGTACCTTTCTCAATGACTACAGGATCCATCAGCGAGTCGTCACGGTCACGATGAATCGTTGGTCGTTCCTCATTACCAATAGAAAATACTTTACTAAAATATTCCGATAAAGCTTCATCCTTTTCGGCATCATTTTCTGCCAAGATTAACGGATTTTCTTGTATCAAAAGTGATGGAATCCTATCGTTCCTTTGAGTTCGCCTTTTTATATACGAGAATAACCGTTTCGGACCATATCTAGAATCCCTAACCAATTGTTTTTCGTATGATAGTCTAGTCTTACTTATTAACGTTTTACAGGCATTCCTAATCTTACAATAACTGGATCTGTATCGTTCTAAGCCAGTAGAGATGAACATATTCCAGTGATTCTTCCTTTTTCTAAGAAGTTTCCTGACCGTTTTAGTTATCCATGGTGGACTGTTAGTCGGTCTTCGCGGTACCAGGTATGGTATGAACGGGGACGTAACTAGTTTAAATTTACCTTTAAATACAGACCATGCTTCAACTGATAAGCTAGTATCTACTAACCAATCTGTCTTAGCAGCGCATTCCTGAATGGCTGATATGTTAACTTTCCATACATTTGGGCGAGGTGTAGCCTGATCGTATAACATGTCCCTAGTTCTAAACGCGAATGACAAAACAGCGTGATCGCTGTTCACTAACGGTGGAAGAATATTTAGGTCGACAATATCCTCACTTAACACCAAAACGTGTGGGTTTAGATACATGCTGCACTAATGCATGCTCCATTATTGTTATCATGAACCTACTATCAAAGGAGTTTATAGATCCTTCTGTGGTCATCTCAGTCCAGCTAATATCAGGTGCGTTAAAGTCTCCTATTATCAAGCATCTGTTACTTGCACTCCAAAGATGAGTGTGCTCTAAAATAAAGTCATCAGTTAAGCAGATTGGGCTGCGATAGATGACACCTAGCATAAATGTACTACATCCTATAGCCAACTTACAGCTAATGACTTCACAAGTACCGCTATCATGGGATTCGCTAGTAGAGGAGCGGATATTTATGCTATTGTCTATATATAAACTGCGCTATCTAAAAAGGACAGTGGTATTGTTTCTCGTTGAATTAGTTAACTGTTTTGATCGTAAATTACGTATCAAAACTACGATTTACACTTTAATTGAATCGACTACAGTTAAAGTGATATTCTATTGAGTTTTTTGGCTTTTGTGTATTTATTACATTCGAAAGCATTCTTGGTCTGTATCAAAGTACTTTAGTTAAGGTTTAAAATCTTGCTAAAGTTTGTCTTGTGGTAACCTTTTATTCGTTGACTGACATTTGTGTTCATACTGTGATCATATTGTGTGTTACACCTTGATCTGACTAAAATGGTTGGTAGTACTCACAAATGTGGACAACCAAAGTGTTTGTTCCCTGTGGAGGAGGGAATGCAATGTGACGAATGCAATAAGTGGTTCCACAAAATGTGCACCTGTTTAAGTCCCACTGCATACAAAAGATGTTCGAAGCCTAACTCACATTGGCTTTACATGTTTTGCTGTGCCAACAAGGCATTACTATTACAGGAGGCTATGAGCCTATTGGCTTTGGCCTGTAAAAAGAACGATGGCATATGTGCTGACAACACGGGCACTGACAGTGACGAATGTGTCAGTGTAGTACCTGCTGTTACGCGACGCCTCAAACGACCGACTCTGACAGACATAAAAGTGAAGTCTCCGTTGACATTAACAGGAGGAGTAGTACCACCTGGTACTGACATTGTTGATAATGCACCTTTAGTGGGAACCGAAGATCTGGATAAAACAGTCACCGTTCCAAATAGTCCCAGTGTTATGAGGGATTAAAAATGGACTACGGTACGTAGGAAACGAAACGTCGCGTAACAGCAGGTACTACACTGACACATTCGTCACTGTCAGTGCCCGTGTTGTCAGCACATATGCCATCGTTCTTTTTACAGGCCAAAGCCAATAGGCTCATAGCCTCCTGTAATAGTAATGCCTTGTTGGCACAGCAAAACATGTAAAGCCAATGTGAGTTAGGCTTCGAACATCTTTTGTATGCAGTGGGACTTAAACAGGTGCACATTTTGTGGAACCACTTATTGCATTCGTCACATTGCATTCCCTCCTCCACAGGGAACAAACACTTTGGTTGTCCACATTTGTGAGTACTACCAACCATTTTAGTCAGATCAAGGTGTAACACACAATATGATCACAGTATGAACACAAATGTCAGTCAACGAATAAAAGGTTACCACAAGACAAACTTTAGCAAGATTTTAAACCTTAACTAAAGTACTTTGATACAGACCAAGAATGCTTTCGAATGTAATAAATACACAAAAGCCAAAAAACTCAATAGAATATCACTTTAACTGTAGTCGATTCAATTAAAGTGTAAATCGTAGTTTTGATACGTAATTTACGATCAAAACAGTTAACTAATTCAACGAGAAACAATACCACTGTCCTTTTTAGATAGCGCAGTTTATATATAGACAATAGCATAAATATCCGCTCCTCTACTAGCGAATCCCATGATAGCGGTACTTGTGAAGTCATTAGCTGTAAGTTGGCTATAGGATGTAGTACATTTATGCTAGGTGTCATCTATCGCAGCCCAATCTGCTTAACTGATGACTTTATTTTAGAGCACACTCATCTTTGGAGTGCAAGTAACAGATGCTTGATAATAGGAGACTTTAACGCACCTGATATTAGCTGGACTGAGATGACCACAGAAGGATCTATAAACTCCTTTGATAGTAGGTTCATGATAACAATAATGGAGCATGCATTAGTGCAGCATGTATCTAAACCCACACGTTTTGGTGTTAAGTGAGGATATTGTCGACCTAAATATTCTTCCACCGTTAGTGAACAGCGATCACGCTGTTTTGTCATTCGCGTTTAGAACTAGGGACATGTTATACGATCAGGCTACACCTCGCCCAAATGTATGGAAAGTTAACATATCAGCCATTCAGGAATGCGCTGCTAAGACAGATTGGTTAGTAGATACTAGCTTATCAGTTGAAGCATGGTCTGTATTTAAAGGTAAATTTAAACTAGTTACGTCCCCGTTCATACCATACCTGGTACCGCGAAGACCGACTAACAGTCCACCATGGATAACTAAAACGGTCAGGAAACTTCTTAGAAAAAGGAAGAATCACTGGAATATGTTCATCTCTACTGGCTTAGAACGATACAGATCCAGTTATTGTAAGATTAGGAATGCCTGTAAAACGTTAATAAGTAAGACTAGACTATCATACGAAAAACAATTGGTTAGGGATTCTAGATATGGTCCGAAACGGTTATTCTCGTATATAAAAAGGCGAACTCAAAGGAACGATAGGATTCCATCACTTTTGATACAAGAAAATCCGTTAATCTTGGCAGAAAATGATGCCGAAAAGGATGAAGCTTTATCGGAATATTTTAGTAAAGTATTTTCTATTGGTAATGAGGAACGACCAACGATTCATCGTGACCGTGACGACTCGCTGATGGATCCTGTAGTCATTGAGAAAGGTACTGTTTTAAGGCTACTTCAGCATCTCAAACCTGATAAGTCCAGCGGTCCTGATGATATTTATCCTAGGATTATGAAAGCCGTATCAGATGAAATTGCTGAACCATTAGCGATACTATTCGACATGTCTCTGAGACAGTCCAGACTTCCTAGAGACTGGAAAGACGCCATAATAAGTCCGGTGTATAAGGCTGGGAGTAGGGATTTAGTAACTATAGACCCGTTAGCTTAACTAGTGCAGTTGTAAAACTGATGGAGAAAATCATTCGGATAGCTGTTATAAACTATGTTGAAGGGCAAAATCTTTTCTCCAGGGCACAACATGGTTTTCGGAAAGGCCTATCTTGCTTGACAAATCTTCTCATTGCAAGAGAAGATTGGGCTGCTGCAAAAGATCGGAATGTTCCTGTGGATGTGATTTTCACAGATCTAAGTAAGGCCTTTGATAAGGTTTCCCACTCTGGTCTTAAATTCAAACTGGAACGTTTTGGAATCCATTATACAGTCGTCGATTGGATAAGTAACTTTCTCCATGACAGGAGACAAAGGGTAAGGGTTAATAGGGCTCTCTCCTCGTGGTTACCTGTAAAAAGTGGGGTTCCCCAAGGTACAATCCTAGGTCCTCTTCTCTTTTTACTTTATGTAAATGAATTGCCAACTGTAGCAAAATCATCTGTCTTACTCTTCGCTGATGACATAAAGATTTGGAGACCCATACATAGTATGTTGGATAGAATGGTATTACAGGATGATCTTAGCTCATTGGTGGCATGGTTAGACAGGTGGTCACTGGAAGTAAATCCTAATAAGAGTGTAGTGATGGAGTTAAATAACTCTGACGAATCGTATCACTATACACTACGTGGATTCGTGCTACCCAAAGCAAGAAACTATAAAGATTTAGGAGTTATATTAAGCAATGATCTCAAAACCACTAGTCACTGTAATGCTGCTGCTGCAAAAGGCTATAGGATATTATGGTCAATTCGTAGGTCTTTCCAGTATTTAGACGATGAAATGTTTAGATTACTATACCCGATTTATGTGCGATTACATTTAGAACACGGGATTCAAGCAGCGTGTCCTTGTTTCAAGTACGAAGCAGATATGCTAGAAAGAGTCCAACGACGAGCTACTAAGATGGTACAAAGTCTATCTGGCCTATCTTATGGAGACAGACTGAGACACCTTAACTTATTTCCGCTATCTTACCGTAGAATACGGGGGTGATCTAATATTGGCCTATCGTATACTGAACGATGACCTTGGTATTAACATGTCTTATCTTTTGCTTCCGTCTAGAACCGATCATTTGAGAGGACATTCGAAGAAAGTTCAAAAACCGAGATCAAACCGTTTACGTCTGGAGTTCCGTTTCTCGCACCGAGTAGTGAATTACTGTAATTCCCTACCGGAACACGTAATATCAGCACCGTCTGTTAATATATTCAAAACGAGGTTGGACCTCCACAGTATTACAAACTGCAAGGATTAATGTAGGTCAATAGACCTCCTATCCTTATTACTGAAGACTGAAGTATGCCACCTTCTTTTCCACACCTATGCCTATCACTTCTGAGATATGAGACAATGACCGTCTCATATTTGCATCCGCAAGGACAAAAATACCCATAAAATTTAGTCACTAAATCTCTCCTACGAAAGACTGATTATACAGACTAATCGTTGACTATGAATTTCGATAAACAGCTACTTTAAACTAAAGTAACTTTAGTGAATGAAAAGCACTTCACCCCTGCTCAATAGGCTGTAATATTTAAGGTCAAACCCTGACTCGTTGAAATTACCAATATTTTACTTCACTTTTACAGCACACTCACAGTTTGTTCTCTTCGTATCCATGATCATAGAAATCCATCGTATGTTGGCACTACTGTTAAATACGCGGTTAAAAACGTACGGTGTTCAGTTTCCACCCGGTGAAACCATATACTTTAATTACTATTGATGGGAATAGTATGCCAGTCATACTTAATGTCATTTATAGATTTAACGAATATTATCGTGCTTGATTTTCGGATACTCATTCATTCCCACAAGGTAGGGATGTAGCATAAAGACAAGTGTTAGTAACTATCGATACGTTGCAGGAATTGCCAACTTATGTTTTAATAATTACTTTTAGTTAGAAAAACTCGATCAGCGATCTAGGCTACATTCTGTTACGGAGCTTTTGAGACTAATTTTCAGCTTCTAAATGCCCATCTTAGTATTCCTATGACGACTTGCATGTGTAGGGCCAGTGAATTGTCCCTCAGTCCTGACCAAATCATCCGGCAGTTGGGTAACTGAATATCAAATAGATCATCAACCACTGTAAAAGTCATGGACAACCAACAATTAATCGTACGCCGTGAACTGGCCCATGTGGTAGTGATCACAATTTCACTTATTCCTACTCTAACTAATATAATTCTGTAATAAAGTCCTCTGTGTTATACGATCTCCAAAGCAGCAGTAGTACCTTGATGTGAAAGTGAGGTAAACCTCGTTAGGTTCTGACTGCGAGATGTGACTTCGAAGTTAGCTGCCAGTCACACTGCTCCCATCTAACTCGAGTAGGCCCGCAATCTTTCGACATAGATCATCTACGTTACTGATATATGCATGTGTTTAGAACCAAGCATATCACTAATTCCAAACGTTAGACCATTTCTGTTTGTCTTCTGTATATGTATGAGGTAGCCTTGTATCAGAATTATTTAGTTCCTGTGTATGAGGAGCTTTCAAGTGGTGGGTCGATCTGTACACTAAAAAATATCTTCCAGTTCTTTCCAGACTTCACTATTTCATTTTTTTAGTTTTAGTTTTCGGATATTTTGTACATCGATTTTCCAGACTTGCTAGGGGTATTCAACCTATATTATTATTTCCACTATATGATGATTTATCCCCATACTAATCAGTAATTCCCCAAAGTTTATAACTTTTCAACCGGTTAGCAGTAGTACTGATCAATATTTATTCTGCTGAGAACACAACTAGCTGAATACGCAGGCCCGAACGTCAGATATAGGTCAGGCTTCAACTTGTCGTGAGACGCATTTCCGTCCGAGACCTCCTAGCTTAGAAATTGTAATCTACTAACCTCTATCTACAATTCAAATATTTCCCACTCATTCTTAACTTCTTTTCTAAGAACCTCGGTGAACATGTCAATGTATGAAATCGGGACATCAGTGCAAAATTCCGTCATGTCAAACTCGTCTTCACTTTTCTGACCGTAAACAATATATTATTTTGCTTTGCTGGGACAGATGCTCACATTTACTATGTGACTGACTCACGTAATTTCTTGCTGTAATCACATTATGGTGCGGTCTTGGGAAGTACACTTTGTCATTTTTTTGTTGTTTTGATGTAGCCGAATATTATCAAATGATCGGAATGACTATTATAATATGATATAATGTAAATCTAACCAGCGGATAGTGGTTAAGTAAACTGTTCCGTAATATTGAGATAGTAAATTGTTCGATCACCGGACTTTTATCAAAAGTGCTCATAATTGCACTTTGTTTATTATTTCCTTCAAATATTTTTGCTATTTTTTTATCGTTGTTTAGCATAAATTAAACCACATAATACTATTTAGACATTAGTTTCATTGAAATGTGTGTTTCCATCAATGAAACCACTTATGTAGTTTTGTTTATTCCTACTGCTTGGACACTAGCCTCTGAACGTTACTCCTGCCACGTTACCAATTATTTACTTTCTATATTCAAAAAGCTCAGAATGTGTAATTGGAGTCTATGATTTTAGTGTCACCAAAAGCTACTGAATGCTATGACGGATAAACACGTCAAGTTCATGAAAAAATTCTGACTACAGTTATCGTGCCACAATAAATTCTTAGAAGCCTACATACTCGACCAATCCAGTCTGTTCCGTAGCCCGAATGCATAGCTCGAGTTTCTGTGATATCTAGATCAGACGCTTGCTCTGTATGAAAGATTATTTAACCATGTTTTACACAACTAATCTTCTAAGGTTCACTGGAAAGTGAGGTATTTTTCATTTCCCTTGCTGACCGCAAATAATGTCGACGTCGCATGGGAAACATTGATATTTGATTGACTTCATATATATATTTATATCACCTGGATTTCAGTAGGTCAAGTCACTGATCCCCATATCATTAGCAATGAACTCTGTAGTTCCATAAAGCTTACTGGGATTAAAACACCTCTTCTAAAGTGTGGAATGTTTGCGTCGAAACAACAACCCATTTATGTTCTGGCAAAATTGATTTGAACAGTCTCTTCAAGTGCCACCATCTCTGCTAACACTGGAAACCACATAAAGCTCTTATGACAAATTATTACTTCCAGTGCGCAACGTACGTAAGATCGCCGCAAACGTTGTCAAGAGAGACTGCTACCCCTGGTTTAATTTACAGACACTTATCTAATCATTAAAACACTACATTCCCACAGCTTTCAACGAAATAATAATCACAATAAGTTGCGTCAAGTGTCTCCGACATATCCATCATCGATTCCTCTGAAGGACCAAAACCCGACAGGAAATGTTTCATTCGATCGATTTGGGATTTAAACTCTTAAACGACATTTAGGAAATGAATAGTCGTGTCTTTGATTATAATGAACTATGCTGTTATTATGTTTAAGTTTTCCAGAAAATTTCAGAAGCCGAAGTGTTATGTCCTAGTCAAGATTACATTACGAGTAACTTCCGAGACCTATTAATAGACTAATATTATTTACATATTCTTATGGTATAAATATTCAGTAACCAGGTTATGTATATCTATATTCCCCTTGTTATAAGCTTTATTGCGACCTATATATTATTATTGTACGATTTACTGTTCTTAAGCTATGTTCAGTTTATTGACTACTGCCTCTCACATTCACAGCCACTTTTTTGGCTTTATTGTATATGAATGTTATTTCCTATTTTATGCTGCATTGCGGTTTGTTTGTTTGGTATATAAACCCAGTATGTTTGAAATAAATGATTTGCATAGTGGAGGCTGTTATTGGCATTCTGGACTCAGCTGGACGGGTTAGGAGAGCAACGGGCCTATAGAACGCTAGGCTGATCAGACCGTTCGGACGTCATTGACTTAATACAGTATAAGAGCGAATAAGTCGTATTTTGATTGGCGAATATATTACGTGATAACAAGCGGTTCAGAAAGTCACAACAAGAATATCACGTACGAATACAAATTTGACTTGCATTTTCTGCATGTTGACTAAACCTTGTGTGAAATTCTTACCCACATTTTGAGCTAACTCTCTGTTACTTCAGCTGACGTGCTGATGCACGAAGAGGCTAGAAAGAAAGTAATAAGCGTTTTATCATCAGACTTATCAATTTGTGCTCTGAATGTTATTACAGAATGCATACCAGGAGCGACTGGGTAAGCTGGAAATCCCTCATATTGTTTAATTGAATTATGTCGTTATTTCCTTGTTCTTTTTCCCTGTACTCTATTTTAACCTTTGCTCAGGTCTCTTTCAACCATGTTTCATATTCTTCAGTCTTCTTTGTCTGAACTTTTATTAGTTGAATTTGGTCAAAGATCTACCTTTATTACCTAACTTCATTGATGTAGGTTGCAAAGCCACTGATACTGGTGTCGTATTTCACTAAGCTCAAACTTAAGATGTGTTTTAGTTGATAATTATTGACATTTGATTGTCAGTTTGGGACAGTTACTCAAATTTTTTCAGATATATATTTCACCTTGTTAGTAATACTACTACCGATTTCCAGGTGCCAAACAATTACCTACTAATCACTTCTCTTGCTGTTGAGCACGTTGTTTTGTGGTAGAGGAAATTTTGACTGCATGGCACATCCTGTACCGTTTGAGGTATTTTGTACTCTGGATATAGCTCGTTTTCTTGCTTAAATTAGAACCAACAAAGTTGAACACGAAGTTTTTGTTTCGACATAATTTGGTACGAGTTACTCAAAAATAGTCCGTACGCTATACAAAAGAACGTAGTTTTACCTTATCGAATAGACTTTCGTTTGTTAATCCTACGTTCAAATCAAATACTAAAATTTTGGTCGTTACACTCATTTTATTCGCGTTAATTTTAAGTAACGGCCTCTAAGTTGAAGTTGATGAATTTCAAACAAAGAGTGCTTTCGTGGATGCAGGAGTGAATCAGTGCAGCGTTGTCATCTAGCGTTTTTCTACTGTCAGAAGTAAAAATGTATTCACCAAACATGTAGCTATCTTTAGTTTTCAAGCACCCCATTAGATACTCGTTGGTATGAAAAGTGGCATTTATTCTTTATAAGTAACACTTAGGTCATTCTGAACACTAAAATCAGGTTTTTTATTGACATCGCCTTCATTAGCCGCTACACACAATTGGATGGTAGTCCAGTTTGAGATACTAATTCACTTACGGTTTCTCGAAGAAATACAGACATAATGATACGAAATTAGCTCTACTGATGAATTAAACACAGGGTGCTGACTCATTTGGATATCGGATGGCCTTCTTGTTTTAATCTAAACTTGAGAATCTTGCAGATCATCAAAGTAGATGATTTATGTCGATGAATGGGAAGGCTTATCCGGATGGACGAGATCGATGAGGCCTCCTAGCTTTCTCCCAAGCCAAACATCACAGCTAAAGTCTGGTGTGAATTACTCCCTCTTCGAATAGAACGAGCGTAGTGATATCACAGGAATATGCTTGTAAGAGTAGGTGTGAGAAACAAGGTGTGACTACTGTCACACAGGCCGATCCATGGTATGGGATTGGTTGACTTAGGCGGTTTTGCGTCGACCCTGACAAGCATCAGCAAGCTGTTCGACACTCAGGGACCTAACTTCTGGATAATTTGGCCAGGGCTCTGGTAACA